CTAATTCTTATTATATAGTCCTAAAGGTGTTTAAAGGTAACCCTGATGGATTTAGGAGAAAGATTATAGAAAGAAGTTGGATTATTTAGGTAGAAAACAGGCTAACATGAGCTAACATATTTTACTTTTTGTAGTAGTATTAGTAGTATTGATCACATATTTGCATAACTTTTATTAGTGTTGTGAGTATATAAACAAACAAAAAAATCTCTTATGTTTGGTCACATTTTCAAAGAGCCACTTCATAGGGACCAAAGAGCCACATGTGGCCCCAGAGCCGCAGGTTGCAGACCCCTGATCCAGCCTGTTGTCAGCACACAGCTCAGAAGGCTGCCTCTCTCATGGTATAGGGGTTCATTAGTATTCTGAAAAGACATACAGAGTTTGGAACAACATCCAAACAATCTCTTTTTAGGAAAAACCTTGTTTATGTCACAAGACAATATGAAACCATAAACTGTTTTATTACAACAACAGGTCAGGATGGAACAAACCTCTAACAACTGAGGTTTACAGACTGTTGGTAAAAGAATAGGATTTTTTTTACCAGGGAAATATGGAACAACTTTATGATGCTGCCATCAAATCAAAACATTGATTTTTCTCTTATAAAAAGAATTTGAATGAGTCTTTACATATTTTTTTCAGTGGCCCTAATCCTCTTCCGAACTAGAAAAATAAAAATAAAACAAACAAAAAAATAAATAAAAAGAACAAAGACAATCCTGTTTGAGTTAGTTCTCATACAGAAGGTTATCTTGTTCAGAGGAAGTCTTTAGGTCTGTTAATGCAGAGGCTTTATAACTGAATCCAAACATYGTATTGACAGGAGGAAGAGGACTGCAGCTGCACATTAATCTGCTGTATTATCCCAGTTTTTTCCATGTTAATGATACCCTCATCACAACTCTCTCCATTCACAAAGCAAATCCTGTCGTGACTGGAAGAGCTGGCTCAGAGCCGGCTGTGGGTGTCTCACAATTCACAGAACAAGTCTGAATCCTGCAGCAGCAGCAGCAGCAGCAGCAGCAGCAGCAGCAGCAGCAGCAGCAGCAGCAGCTCAGCAGCAGCAGCTCAGCAGCAGCAGCAGCAGCAGCAGCAGCAGCAGCAGCAGCAGCAGCAGCAGCAGCAGCAGCAGCTCAGCAGCAGCAGCTCAGCAGCAGCAGCAGCAGCAGCAGCAGCAGCAGCAGCAGCAGCAGCAGCA